ATCTCTCTTCTCTATTTTGTAGCATTTTTGAAGCCCAAAATGAATGAAGCCCATCAAGCAAAGATGGCCCAAAGGAAAAAGAAAATAAAACAAAGCACATTATCTATTTTACATGAATTTATGTGGACTTTGGAGTTGGTTTTTTTTCATTGGGCCGGACATGTATTCATTTTTTTCTTGTAAATCAAATGAACCAAAGCCCATTATTGCTTCATTGTGTGCAGGAAATGAATGGGAAAATCAAATTGATGAAGACCGGACTTTGAGGTTGCTGCAGGTGGAGTTGGAAATTTATTATCATGGGCCGGTCTTAATGTGGAAAATCAAATGCTTGAATGGGCCGGTCTTGGATGAATGAATTGGACTTTGTTTGGATTTTTCACAAGAAAATGAAATGTGAACTTTAGTTGCTGCAATCAAAACCGGATTTTAACATGAATGACCGGATTTTCTTTGGAGATTTGAATTGGGCCGGACATTTACAATGGACTTGGAATTGATTTTTTTAAAATCAAATGAATCATGGACTTGGGCTGCAGAAAATTGTATTAGATTTTGATTTTCTTTTGAAAATCAAATGAATCATATGGGCTTCCTATATTTGGGCTAGAGAAGAACAAAAGAGGTTTGCATTTTCTTTCCTTTTTCTCTTTTATTTCCTTTTTATTGCTTATTAGTGTAGATTTATTTCTATGCTTGTAGTTTAGATTTTATTTTCTTGTTAAATAGCCAAGAGGCTAGAACCCTCTTGCCTTAGATTTATTTCATGCTTATAGAGTAGATTTATTTTCTTGCATTTAATTCTTGCAATTTTATTTTGTAGTTTAGATTTTGCAATTTATTTTGTAGTTAGATTTTAATTTCTTGCACTATTCACCTTGAGGCTAGAACCCTCTTGGGTTTAGTTTTTCTTTTTGTTTATTTTTATTTTGTTTGATTCGCCTTTAGGCTAGAACCCTCTAGGGAATCACCCTTTTCTAAGAAGTGGGTTCAATTGTAGATTAACCATATCTATAATTGAATCCACCATCTTTAACTTCTTATATTTTCTTTTATTCTAGAATTTTGTTCTTCATTCTTGATTTTTTTTATTTGTTTCTTGATTTTATTCATTTTCCTTCTCACCTTATTGATCACACTCATTCTCTTTTACATCCACTCTCACTTACACTTTGCACCTATTCAAACACCATTTTCACTCTCATTATCTCTCCACAATCACATTCACTTATCACTCCTTTTTGTCACGCACACAACATAAGAACCGATTTTATATTTTCTCCTACAAAACACCTTCCTCGTGGGATCGATATCTTAAATACTATAACTTGACACGGTTGTGCACTTGCAACCTTTTTGGTACATGTTTATGTCGCATCAGTGGTCGTGTCGAATTATAGGATTGTGGAAGAGAACCAAAAAAGGTGAATAACAACAATTGATCCCACTGATCTTGCATCTTTTGAACATCCCTCATAATGGAAAAATCTATCTCAGCTCCTCTGTGAGGCAATTGAAGTTGTCATAATGCTCCTCAAATATCTGATTGTGCTCTCCATCTTGTTTCGAAATAACTCCTGAATGAGAGATTATATACTCGATTGGCGTGTCCATGGTCTGAATACAATTGCTCCAAGAACTTCCACATATGTTTCATTATATTACAATGAATTGCTAGCTGAAGGACATGGGGTTCCATGTTGTTCTAAATTTGATGAAGTAGATTAGTGCCATCCTTTTTCCAAGAGGCAGTAACTACAACGAGGGAGTCGTCTATAAGATGATGATCCTTTTCTCGACCTAAAAAATAAACTCGATCCAATTACTGCCAAAGTAGGTAATTAGGTCCGTTTAATTTCTGATTAGTGATCTTGCTAGAGAGCACCTTCGTGTGGATATTCACCTCAAATCTCTCGTCCACTAAGATAGCAGAATCACCCGAGGATGTCATCATACAATAAATGAGATCCTTAAACTAGTAACTTTTTGACAAATAACTATCAACCTCACCCAACAACAAATCATCAACAAGTAACCACACCAAGTAATCAATCCACAATAAGTAATCACACCAAGTAAACAAGTAATCACCACAAGTAATCAATCCACCAAGTAAAACCATCCTACAAATATGGTTTCTTCGAGAGAACGACTTATCACTTATCTCAAAGAGATCATTGACAACTAATCGTAAGATGAAGCTATGATTAACTTAATGTCTAAAAGATCTAATTGATTAAGCTAAATAATTAGCTGAATATCTATAAAGATCTACTTAGTAAGTCAAATGACTAGCTCAAGATCTATGAAGATCTAATTAATTACGTCAAATGATTAGTTTAACACTCTTTTCTTACTGTTACGGATCTAGGGTGTACAAATCCGATTTTTTTTTTTTTTTTTGCGCCAAAGTCGAGGGTTAGTGAACTAAGAAGTTGGGGTTACAAGCAGGGAGGTCAAAGTCAACATGAGAGAAGGGGTTCAAGCCGGATCCGATCGGGGGTGAATGAAGAATGCCATGAATGAACAGTACCCACTGATGAACAGTGTCTCTGATGAACAGTACCCAAGGATGAACAGTATCAGTGAAGCAGTATGTGGTCAGAAGTGGTGGCGGCTGAGGGCTAAGCGTTAGAATTTGATGTTGGTGGGTGGTGGTTAGGGTTTGAGAGGGTGTCGGCTAGGGTATGGCGGTTAGGGTTTGAGAGGGTAGCGGCTAAGGTTTAGCAAATTGGAGAGATATGAGAGAGTGGTTCAGATACCATGTTAATGTGAAACCCTAGAGAGATTATTAGCTCTCTCTTGGATGTTATTTATAGTGTTTGAAACAAGGGAGTTTGTCTCTAACCAATGTAGGACTAAACGACAAGGAATAAACAACTCTCTCAACACATGGCAAGTAGCTATGAAACTGAAAAGAACTAAAAGAATATTTATGAGAATGTGCATTACTGGGTAAGTGCCTTCCATGTAATACTGTTTGTTAAAGAGCAAGAACAAGCCAAAGATAACCTAGAAGAGAGAAGGCAGTCAATCACCAAAGATAATTGGTTCCATCACTCAGATAATTTGTGTTGAAACATGGTTTCACGTCTAAATACAGCCAGAGTTCAAGATCAAACTGGCTTCTAAATGCATTCATTGAGGTCAAGACAGAGACGTAGAGGTCACGATGCACAGTGGTTTCCAAATAGAAACATAGAAGATGGACACATGATTTTGAGAGACGAAGCTTTTGTGACAGGAAGGGGGATAGGAGGAGGGACGGATATGTAACTAAAATTAAATTTTACAAACAGAACTGGCTTTAGATATACAATTTATAAAGATGGTCTGTAACTTGAATAACATTTTACGAACTTACAACATATGCTATAACTTTACAAGGCTTAGGTGAGGAAAGGAACTTTTGTTGTTTTAAAACTAGCATGAATTTTCAGATAATCTTTTAAATTGTTGAATTCCCACAGGTTATATAGGCCTCGATAAGATTAAATGATTGAAACGAGGAGTATGGGTGAAGAACAAACAGGCAGGACAAAGACAATTACAGCCCAAGAAGGCATTTGGAAAAGAGAGTTTTTTTCTTCCTGTTCTTTTGAATGTCAAAAGAATAGGAAACTTTCAAATAAAAGTTTGAACATACCTTTAAAATTGATTGCATCTCTATACATTGTATGTTGATGAAATAAATGAATAAAGAGAGGATGAACTCACTTAATCTAACATACAGTGGCATACATCACAACATTATGATGTTCTAGAAACTGCCAGTTTATTGAACACTACAAAAAATATCCCCCCCCCCCCTTTCTTCTTAACACTACAAAAAATATCCCCCCCCCCCCTTTCTTCTTCTTCTTCTTCTGTTGAATGTCAAAAGAAGAGGAAAATTTTTAAGTAAAAGTTTAAGAATATCTAAAAGTGAATGCATCTCTATACATTGTGTGCTTTGATGAAATAAATGAATAAAGAGAGGATGATCCCACTAAATCTAACATATAGTGGCATACATCACAACATTACGATGTTGTAGAAACTGCCAGTTTATTGCCCACTTCCAGAGATTTACTGTGCAGTTATTGCGTAAATTTCAGTTAATTTAACATATCCAATGTCCAAATAACATCGGAAAGAAAATACGTCTACCAGTTTGTGGGCAAGTAGGGACAGGAAAATATATTGAAAATAAAGTGAAGGAGAAACAGAGGTAACTTACACCGGAGGAATGCAGCAAGCTTCAAGCTTGAGGAATCAACTAGATTCGAGCAACTAAGATTAATGCAATTTCCATCCATGACATGGAAAAAGGATTCATGTACCCAACCCCACATATATGGCAGGTAGAGTGATGAGAGTTTTATTAGGTAGCTACCAATCTAAAATTATCATTAAACTTTCTTGTGTGGTGGAGAAGATGCACGATTATGCTTGTCTACTGTTTTGTTCTCTGTAGTGGACTAGGATCGTTCACCAAATAGGTCGGGTAAAAAAACAGTTTTGAGCAAGATGTTATGCGAACAGATTGCCAGTGTTCAGGGAAAAGGGAGGAACAGTAAAATCTTTGTTCTTGTCGCTTCTGGTAGATGCATTGGGAATTCACGCTTTTGTTATGCACAAATGATCAAACACTAAATAAGTACTATTAAGTGACAACTGCTAAATTTTTAACTAGTTTGTAGCGTATTAATAGTCTTCTTAAATCCTCTTAATGCAGTCTCCTGCCATGTTGGTGTCCTGTTATTTTAGGATGAGTGGTTCACCTGTCTGAGTTCATGCTAAATAAATAGACAAATTGGCTCAGTCAGACGAATGACAGCCAAGGCTCATTACATGTGCTGAATATTCCTGGTAACAACATTACTAGCTACTTCAAATGCTCCAAACAAAAGGCAAGGAACCCTTCTTTGACAATTAAACAACCACTATATCGCACACGCGCACGCACACAACTCATGCACATTCATAGATAGCATAGGATACAAAGAATAGTAACTTACAGAAATGAGATTAAGAAATATGATGTTAGCTTCTTGCACGCCCTTGCTTAGGAGCAAAGAAATAGCTTGAACAGCTGAATTACCTGAAAAGGAAAAGGTGTGATAAAACTTTCTGAGGATTAACAAGAAAAATTATGCAGAACAGCTGAAATGACTCTTACTCTGACTTTTTAGGAATAAAAAATCTCAAATTCATAGATGAGATTTAATAATATGAACACAACAAACATGTGGTCGCAGAATTTTAATCCACATGTTAAAGCTAAGAATTACCATTTTATGTTAAAACGTTACTAGCATTAGGGAATTATGTGGTATCATAAAACAAACTTAACAAAGAAAGTCAATCAACTTGAACTTTTCAGCCATACAGTACAAACACATATGTAGTCCTGTTAACCTCTAATAATAGAGCACCAACAAAAGACCATAGAAGAAAGTTTCCACTGTTTACGCAGGACTTATTCCATCAGATAATGCTTAAACTGTAACCAGTTAGATACCGTGTTCTTCAAGACACGACAATCTGAGAAGTCTACTGTTTACCAAGGATTTATTCTATCTATACTGGATACTCTGACCATTACAGGTATGAAATGTTCATAGACAGCTTATGTAGTAAAAGTTGATAATAAAAAATCTCTGAGCTTCAACACGATACTCAAACATGTGAACATTAAATGAAGGTATAGTCTAACCATTTGCATTAGAAGAATGGAAATATTATAATAATGTTTGGAAAGGTTTATATTATTATGCATTAAATATATAGGCCTTCCATAACCAAAATATATTAAAGGTTGTTCATGAGCATTGTATTGTTTGAATAAATTGCAAGAATTAAGAAGATAGCGATTTACTTCGAGAAAAATAACTAACCTGTCCCTAGTATAGGATCCAACAGCAGTACATGCCTATTTGAGATATCTTTCGGCAAATTGTGATAGATTAACTGCCAAAACCATCAAAAAATTAAAAGAAGCCAGAAAAAAGTTGCAAAAAACATTCAAAAGTAACACAAACCTGTTGACCTTTATCTCCTTCCCGGTGGATAAGTATCTTTCCTATCTTAACTCCTTTGCAACATGCTCTCAGCGCATTCTCCATGCTTTCTCCACTGATAAAAGTTACATAAGGTAATGCCTTTTTTGTTATGCGCAAAAGGGCAATAAAGCAAACAAGGTACACGATGTCATTTATAATGAAAGAAGCCTTGGAGTCATCATAAGTAAAAAAATGGAAACAAAGTTAAGGCTCATGTATAAGAAAAGAAAAATCGTGGAGTGTTAGAAGTTGGTTAACAACGAAATAAAAGTTTAAGGTCCATGATCTAGATTACTCCTCTTTTTTTGACTATGCAAATCATGTTCATGGATGAAAGTAATTACAACGAACCCTGTATTCATGACAGCATGACATAATAATCAATCATTTCCTCCCAGTAACATTCTTATTTTATTGACTTTGAAATATCATAATCCGGTATCCTTCATTATCTCATATGCTATAACATTGTTGAAACTCTCTGGGAGCCATGCAATAATCAAACAGCAGCTGACCACCTGGAAATCTTTTGATCATGAGAATTATACTTTACAGATTACTACTGGCTTAGGAAATACCAGAAAGCACGGTTGAGGTGTTGTAGAGAAGCTAAGATACAATCAAATAGAATATATGGAGTATAGTTGAAGTTTATTGCTTGGAATGGATAAATGTACTTGTTTTATATATAACACCTCCAAATTAAAATCTACTAAAGGAGCTCCAACTCATAAATAGTCAATGATCACCGTAGTTATGATTGTCTTTGTTCTTATTTCTTTGGTGAGTCTTTTAATCTAAGTTGCATGGAAACGGGTACAGGCACCGGTACGGGTGTGGGTATGGGTAAAGCACGACAAATTTGTACAATGTAGGGTAGGGGGACATGGCTATATATATATCTATATATATGGGTATGCTTAGTACTATGCACGAACTAGGTGCTCGATAGTGAGGTGACTCATTACCATCCGCTTATTTAGAGGGGGTATGGGTAAAGCACGACAAATTTGTACAATGTAGGGTAGGGGGATGTGGCTATATATACATATATATATATATGGGTATGCTTAGTACTAAGCACAAACTTGGTGCTTGGTAGTGGGTGTGCATAGGTTGAATAATTAAGGGATGGTTATTTTCAAGTGGGGGTCATTTGAATGAGTGGATGGGAATGAGTCACATTACTACCAAGCACCAAGTTTGTGCTTGGTAGCAAACATATCTATTTTTCTCATGAAGTGTAGGATATACATCCAAGAAGTGTATGACAAATGTTTTAAATTTAAAACATATATCATACAATTGAGGTCATGTCTGAATAAATACATGCCTATTCCCAAGGAGTGTCCAGGAAGGCTAGTATGGGGATGTGTCGGGAACATGTCCGATACTGGTACAGATTAGTGATAGAAGTACCCAGGTAATAAAGCTTTTAATGAATCTCTTGCCCTAAGGTAGTGTTTGATAGCTTATTGACATCATAAAGGTTTCGCCCTCCTTTCGTCTCATCCCATGTGCATGAAAATGCTCCTACAGATTCATTTTTCACTTTTTGTGATGAATAATATAGTTCTATCAACTTTGAAAACAGTGTTCTTTTTCCATTTTATTTATCATTTATTTTATTTTTATTCTATTTTTTCCTCTATTAAAATAGTATTCACATCAAAATAAAAAACCCCATATTGAATTTCAAACAGTCAGTTTTGAATTGCCAGCTCCACTTGGAACTGTACTATAAGCAAACGAACTGACACGAAGCACTAGATGAAAATGGTACCTTCTAATCACTGAGATCCCACATAACCTTTTACAGAATTCCACACCACTATATACAGAATCTGCATAAGATGATTGCAGTGAGTTATTTAACTAGAAAACTTAAACTGCATTAAATTATGCCTCTGATAAGCACACAGATAATACATGAATTGAACCAATCAAAGTTCCTCCATGCAGAAAAAAGTCAGCGTTATCAATTAAATATTTCATGGACAGACACTATGCATTTAATTGTGTTAGATGTCTCTCAAAGATATATAACAAAAAAGTGCATTAAAATTTTTAGATTTATCCATCAAGAGGGGTGGAGGAATATGTTCATGGCAAACTAGTCTCACTTAAGTAAACACTATCCACTAATAATTAAAAAGATGTACCGAATCAACCCATGAAGCAATAGTGGTTGATACACATCGTGGTTATTTTATTTTTAGTTAGTGATGCTTATTCTGAATTGCAGCTAAATCAAACTCCAAAAGGAAACCATTTGCAGCCTTCATCCAATCGGATTGCAGGATAATCTGCAAAGAAACAGGAAAAAAACACTTTCTATTGCCAAAATTTTAAGTTATATAAAGAATTCCATCTATATTAATGGTATCTTTTAAATTAAGTCTTCTAGCCATTACATTAAAATTTTAAAGTTATGGTGAGGACAGAGGATTATAGTTTTATGTTAATTTTAACATGCCCTTGCAGGTTGAGGGCCCTTTTTTGGGTCGAAACCTGTACTCAGGCAGCGGTGTCAATATTTTAGAAAATCTATTTTAAATTCGTGGTCGATGAGATTTGAACCTAGGTTGCTCTGATACCATTTTAAATTAAATCCTTAACCATCACACTTAAATTAAATCCTCTAACCATCACACTTTAATTAAATCCTCTAACCATCACACCAAAACTCTGAAATTATGGTGAGAATTGACGATTATAGTTTTATATTAATGTATATAGTATCTATTTGGTACAGTGTACCCAAGAAAGACATCTCATAAAAAATCATATGCCTAATCCAAATAGTTTTTTGCATAAAGTCCACTAACTTTGAAAGTTTAAACTAGCCCCTAAGAATATAAAAAACCTTAGTGAAAAGTTGTGACAATGGTGGATTTTATCCTATTTTTATAAGAATGTTGGCAGAGCAATCTCCATCAACTAGATATATGATCTTGCAAGAATCAATTCATGGACACTGGCTTGTCCCACACTTGAGAAGGTTTTCTATAATATTAGTTTCCCATCTGAAAATTCTCCCACTAATCAAAGTGATAAACTATGCAAATAAATGAGTCAAAGTGATAAACTATGCAAATAAATGAGCACCGTGGGTGACTCAAATGGTTGATAGGTTCCAATATGGATCTCATGATCTTGTGTTCGATTCCCGGTGACTTCATTATAAAAAAGCTATGCAAATGGATTCTTCTTTCCAATAATCTGAGTTGCCCTTCTGAATACTTAAGCATATATTATATAATTTCTTAGATAAATCAGCAAATGGATCTAAAATTTTGATGGCAAGAAATATCCTTTGTATTTGAGTATATATAACATGCATGGGTTAAAAATGACAATAATACACTAACAGCTCTACCTGATATCAGGTCAAGAATATAGATGCTCACCAGTTGGAGTAGTCACTTGCTTTTCTACAAACGGAAGATGACCCAAACCCTGCTCGACAACCTGATTGCAAGAATGTAAATCAGGCACACAATTTAAGGTAAGTGCACCAAAGAACAATGAGATACTCACCAAGCGAATTAATCTATCTGCATAGAATATGAAGTCATGCTTTGCAGTCTTCACATCACGTATCAATGTATGCATTCCACGTATCTAGAAAAGAATCTAGGAGGAATTAATGATTTCAAAAAGCTTGTCCACCAAAAGAAATTTCTTTTGTTTTCAAACCATTAGATTACTGCCACTACTTAAAATTGAAACAAACAATTGATATTTAAAATAAAAAAACTACTCTATTCATAATAAGTACCTGAAAAGTTGATTGAATGACATATAGATTTGAGTATATTTTACAAAGATCATGTTGACCAAGTTTCGTGCGGATATGTTGCACGATCAAATCAATTGCCACATGATTGTCTCCACCACGGGGAATGATAATATCAGCATGCTTCTTCGTTGGTAGTATGAAGTCATCAAAAGCAGGTTTCACAAATTTTGAATACTGCACAAATGAACTATAGAATCAGCATGTTCAAACGTCATGGAGCATCAGAGGTAAAACAAAAATAAAACAGAGCAACAACCACTTTCATTATAGCAACCATCAAGCCAACAAATTAAAGTTACTGGACTTTAAAACTTAATTAAAATGATTCTTCGGTCATGAATATGATGTCTGTACATCTTTTTCTCTCTCGAGCAGGAGGCTTGTAACTAGCTCTTATTGACCACTACACCAGCTTGATGTCAAGAATATCTTCCTTAATAGCACTTTTGAGGAGAAAATCTATATAGAGCAACTACATGAGTTAGTTCCTCACGAGTGGAACAACCACTTGGGTATGTTCCTTGAGAGGGATCAGCAGCTACAATATATACAGATTAAAGAAGTCACTTTATGATTTAAAACAGATATCTAAAGCGTAATTTGGAAATTTATTGAGGTCATGAAGAGCTTGGACTTCAGGGATGAAATGGTGATCATTCTGTCTTCTAACAACATTCTCAAAGAAGATGGATTGAATGATATTTCCATTACAAGAGATCACCAGAGAGGCATTCATGAGATAAAGGTGTACATCCAGCAGAAAATTCATACAATTGAGTATTGGATATTTTATATTTATCGTATTATTGGCACTAAGGTAGCTCAATCTGAAAAAAGGGATTTGCTTGCCTCGCGGAAAATATGAGTTAGATAATGTTGTCAGAGGTTGGTATTTCTAGATATAAGCTAGTGATCCCTCTGATACACTTAAAAGTCTGAATTGCTACTTAAGGAGAGAGGCATTCGTGAGCTAAAGAAGTACATCAGCAGAAAATTCATAAAATAGATATTGAATATTTATGGTAGTTTTGGCACTAAGGTAGCTAGGTCTGGAAAAGGGATTTAGTTGCCTCACGAAAAATATGAGTTAGATATGTTGTCAAAGGTTGGTTCTAGATGTAAGCTAGTGATCCCTCTGATGGACCTAAAATCCGAATTGCTACTTAATCAAGGAAAGCCATTGGATGATCTGAAAAGGTACAAAAGACTTGTGGGGAAACAAGTTATGAGACAGTGGCTAGACGAAAAACGTTCATGTCCAGTATATCTGGTGAATCAGCTACTCCTCATTCCGAAATAGGATTCAGAATATTGTGACCAGGATATGTCTGAAGGTAGAGCTTTCTTGTTCAAACTTTTGACTCAAGACTCATAGCTGGTTTCTCCATTACATATGGACATTATCATCGATTGACAGGAGATATATCACAAGCTATTGTGTATTTGTTAGAGACAAAGAGAGCGAATTGTGCCAAATCACGTGAAATCTGAATGTTGAGATATATAGCTAGAATATTACTTGTGAAATTGCCTGGATAAGATACCTATGATGATCTTGATTATTTGTTTCTTCTACAATGAGGTTGCATTGAGAACCAATTATATTGTCATCTAGTTTGAGAATAGATATTTGCGAAGAAGAGCAGTGACACTTGGCATGTATAACCATTCTTGCTTACTATGCCGTGTGGGTAATTTATAGTTTATTTCTCACAGAATGTCTCTAGGTCCCATTTTATTGCTCCCACTTCTGCCGTGTGATGCGCTTTTGGGTGGGTGTTTATTAAATATATACTCACTATGATCCTTTACATAATTAAATGTATAATCTAGTACAATAAAAGGACCCAAAGAGAGAAGATCTGTTTGTTCTCCTCTCCCTGTCCTCTAAATCTTTTGTTTCAGAGGGAGGATACAATTTGATCCTTTCAAATATTGAAAATTAACATGATCTACTGTCATTTAGGATACTCAAGTTTAGCTGAACTTTCACTAATTGACCCTTCAAGCAAAGTACTAAACTAACCTTCTCCAAATTCTTCGTAAAATAGTACAATAGCATAATTAGCATGCAAGACAAAAGACACCTGCTTCTCTGGTATGAGTGACGCACACTGGATGTAGATATTTTAGATACATTGTAAAATTTTTAAATTTTAAGTTTGTTCAACATAAGTATTAAAAAAATGGAAGAACAAAGTTATTGGAAAAGGAGAAATCTCTTACCTGATCCAAAACCATTTTAATATCTCTACTCTTCTCAACTGTATCACGTTGTATCCTCCTTGACAAGCGAACATCAGCATCTTATGCAAGAGGAAACATTTTGACTTTAGCAAAAGAAGGGATGAACCGAGCCAAAATACTGTTGACCAAATAAAGACAGACATAAAAGGCTATAAACTTAATAAACAACTCCATCCCCATCTTTGCTTATTGCCTTCCTCATCTAGAATACTTTTGAGTCTCCTAAATACTGTCCTCAAGAATCCTAATAAGATTAGATCACTTATTACTTATTACTATGAAAAGTAGCTCCAAAATAGATAATTGCGGAAAACAGACAAGCGATTATGAATAGAGGTCTCACCAAAAACAAACTGAAAAAAGGACTCAGTTTCTCTTGACTAATTAAATACTGGTTCAAGTGTCCAACAAAATTCAAAATGACTAGAAATTAATTCATATATGATTAAAGTTCTTCACTTAGATGGATGTACACCCAGTGAGTTGGCCAACCTGACTCAGGTTGACAATAGAAATGCAAGGATACATCAATTAGGAAAAGAAAAGGATGAAACGCAATAGGGAACCATATAAAATGGTATATCTATGTGCTATAATGAGAACAGAGCCCCTAATCAGGATTTATACTCAAATTTGCCAGAGAATGGAATTAATTTTCCTAGTAGTTAAAAAAGAGAGACCCTAAAAGTTTGTGAAGAAACTGATATACGCCTAAAGAAAGTATATGGAGAAGCTTATACATGGAGTTGTATAGTTTAAACAGCAGATAGAATTGAATCACAAAAACATATTAGGTTGTATAGTTTAAACAGCAGATAGAATTGAATCACAAAACATATTAGCTCCGAGAAATGGATGCTTTCATGCTCTTCTGCATGTACTAATATAGGCAGGTCCCAAGATACCTCAAGCTAACTTTTGAGCAAGACTTTTATGATGTTCAAATTGGCATATATAAATTGAGGTAATAATATTTATCATCATGTGACACAATTTGCTGAGGTTCTATAACATTTCAAGTATGAATTCTCTCTAGGCACTCCGTGCTATATGTTTTAGGCCAAATGCATACAAAAATGAGCAGTGAGACCGAGAGAAAAACACCTGTGTCGACAAAGATCTTCATGTTCATGAGATTTCGAACACGAGGATCATGGAATACTAAAATGCCTTCCAGTATGATGACATCTGACGGATTGACCTGAAAATCATAAACCAACAAATATACCAAGTGAACACAGCCATTGTGATGGCCCTGGGGAAATCATCAATCCTTGAAATTTGAAAATAGGTTAATAAAGTGGCAGTGAATTGTGAATATAGTAATTGGTTTGTAGCAGTAGATCTGACAGTGTTACTGAGTCTCCTGACCATACTAAATTACTAATATAAATAAATAAAAATTAAGTACCACCCGAACCATCCCGCCTTCTTCCCCCCGCCCCCCCCGCCAAAACAGTCTCTATCCTCTTATTTGCGATCTTTTTAGCTTCTACCTTTGCAAGAAACGATTAGTTGCATGCTAGCCTCTCTGTTGCCTGTGGCAGTCAAGTTAGGCTTCCTATGGGAAATCTTGTGGCAAGGCTCCTATCGTGGTCCCTGTTCGCCGTACTGTGGATTCTTTCTTAGACTAGGACAATTTGGAGCATTGGCCTTGGTCACTTCACTTAAACTGTATAACCAATGAGATAAGTTTTTACAACCATTAATCAGCTAGTTAGATAAGTCAACTTGTCCATAGTTTTCTTAACCAGGAATTTGGCTCTAATTTTGATGGTGAACATCATGTCGATAGCCTGTGATATCTCTTATTAGGCATTGGAGCATTGCCATAGAGCTTTGTTATACCGCCTACATCTATTTTGATGGGAAAAGTCCTGAACTAGTCAACGCCATCAGGAAAGTTTACTTTTCACCCTGAAAGCAGTATTCCTTTCGGAAACTGTATATTAAAATTAAATAGAAATAAATGGCAAGGAAGATAGTCTTATAATGTGCGATATAAAAATATTTAACCATGATTAAGAACATAATTTGTGATTCACGATTAAGACACTGAATTTCCTTTCATGATAAAACTTTAATTATGAACATATCACTCCTTATAATTCTTATGTTTACAAATAAAGTGTTCGAGATATAAGTATATAATTAAATCTGGGTCAATTTGACAGTAATAACAATAAAAAAATGATTGACATTTTTTGTATCAGTTTAAACGGGTAGATTTCTTGATTGTGGGTTTTTTCAAGAGGATTGAAAGGGATCAAACCCACATATTTTGGATAAAGTCCTTCATGCTGCTGTAGTGGTTGATTCTGAAGCATCTTAGGAAAAGAGAGTTTTTTATCAAGAGGAAAATAGTGTTAGCACTCCCAGTGCTTTGGATAATTCAATAACACTATATTCTCAGACAGTAAAGAATAAAATTCACAATCAAAGGGACCTTTCGTGGTGGCAGGGTATTCTTATAATTTTTGCAATCATAATGCGGGATGTCAACAGCACGACCATGCTTCAAACTCTCCAGACAGCAAAGTAGTTTTTCAGTGTCAAAAGCATCTGCATATAAAAATTGAAAACTGTAAAGGAGTATACAAGTCATCTATTCACCGAATCAAATACAAGTTTGACAAGGTTAAGAGTAAATATAACAACTAGAAAACTTGAAAGTACCAACACTAGAAAATTATAAATTTAACTTTTACTGAGAAAACAAAACCAATGTTGTAGCTTCTTATATGGCAGCAAAAGTGCATTTGGTAATGTGAGTAATGACTAACAAGTATAGGCCATCATGTTTGACCATGGGTGCAGCTGGAAGTAATAAAACATTGAGAAAAAAGAGCAGGAAATAAGTGAGAAAGTGATGGAAAAAGAAAAACTATCTAAGCTCTTAAAGGTGGCTGCTTGCTGCACACATGGCATTTCTCTGTCATTACCTGCCTTGCATTCCAGCTTGGGAGACATCGGAAGGGTCAGAAGCGGAGCAGATCAGAAAACAATGCGAGATGGACAGCAGACTAGCCAGTCGGAGTTAAGTGTTTTTAGAACCTGTTTGGGTTAGAAGTCCTATTTGGTATTGTATTCGGGTTCAACCTTATAAAATGGTCTTCCATGTCTATGGTCTAATATCTACTAAGTCAAAAGAGAGTTGTACATTGTAAAAGAGTTGCGGACAAGAAACATAGAGAGAAATCTAGGGTTTGTGAGGATCTTTAGGTGAGATTTAGAGAGGGTTTCTTGTAGGTTCCTTGAAGAACACAAGAAAAAAAATTTAATCAATGGGGAACAAAGAACACTAAAATCTCTCCCATGAACGTAAGGGATTGTGGAACCACATAAATCTCGTGTCTTTACCATCTAGCTTACTTTTCAGCGGTATATTGCGGTGGTTTGTTTTCTCTTTCTTTGGGCATTTCTTTTCTCAGTGTTTCCCTATTGCCGTGGTGATTGTTAGTCCTAGTATGACAGAGGAGATCTAGTTGGGAGATCCGTGCATAGCTTCCTCGATGACCTCTAATTTCCAACAATTGATACCAGAGCTAATTGCGTTACAACATTAGCACTCAACAAGATCTAGTCAACAGAGAAAAAAAATACGATTTGTTTAGAAGAGTCAGATTA